CTTCAGAATACATTGTTGAGAGCTATGCTAGTTCAAAGTGAATCCAGGAATTATTTATTTACGCAAACAGTTGCGAGAATTGAAAGAATGCTGAACGCATTTTAGTCACTCATATAGGAAGAAGTTACTGAGGTATTTAAATGGGATACGGATAGATAATTGGGAAGTGATATTAAGGGATACTGCTAGGAAACAAAAATGTTATAGAGTGCCATAATCTAATGAAATAGTGCAGCAGGCTTGATGAACTGAATGGCCAATTTCTGTTCCAAGTTTAAAATGGTCCTGACTGAATTATATACAGAGATTATCAATTTCAGCTACAGTATGTTCAAATACTAATGAGTTTGTACACATTTGCATTAAGGAGAAAAGAGAAAATTGTTCCAGACTTTGAAACGCTAAATACATTTTTTTTTAATTTGACAACTCCATGGAAACATTCTCTCTCCAGGTTTCTAACTTTGCTAAACATCTTTCAGAAAGAAGGCTTTAACATCTGTCATTTTCTCAATCCTAATGTTAAAACCCAACATTTTAAGTCTAATATAGTAATATGTTTTAAGTAAAAGTTCAAGCCTTCAGATAACTAAAATGAATTAATTATGCAGCATCAGAATTATTTTTTTTCTTTTACTACACAACTAATGGGTTGCCAAATTTTATTCTGTTGAATGAATTTTCAATTTTATAATGTCTGTCTGAATGAATCAACATTTCTTAAAATTGGAATTTTAAATATCATTAGCAGCAACGATTCCTCAGATGAAAGTAAATTGCAAAGAAGAAGCTAATTTTATAAGCATTTCTCTTCTTTTGCGGTAATTATGAATGCTTTAACCTTTTAACTTAATTACTCACTTACTAGTTAATTTTACTTCTCCAATTTCTTATATACATATTATGGCGTTCTCATGCTCTACTTCTCTATATTTTCCTGTTCTTTTTCATTTTCTACCTAATACATTACTATCATCTATTTTCCACTTAATTCATTACTGCAACATGTTTCACCATTCTGTCTGTTATTTACAATTGTTTTTGCACTTAATGCAAAAAATAACAGGGCTCTGGATTGGAACACTTTTCTGATTTGCATCTTAACCATTTTCTGAACATCAGCATGGGTTGTGGGGAGTTTATAGCTCCTTCAATCCATCTTTGGTGATCTTTGTGCTCCTATGGGTGTGAAAAATATTGGTAACTTCAGCATCAAACACTCTCAGATTAGGTAGACCGAAGTCAGATATAGATTAAAGCTCCCCCTTTAGTGCCTCAATTTGCATTTTAGAACAACCACATCTCTCACACCAGTCATCCTCGTCACCTATCAATTGACACTCCTGGAAGAGTAATTTGTGCCAAATGTTGGGTCATTTCAGTGGTGGATGAGCACCGACCAAGAATTGAGCTGAGATTATACAAGCAAAATTTCATGTAGGAACAGCACAGAATGAGGAAACGGTCCTCAATTTGAGCTAGATTCAAACTACTGTTTAAAAACAATGTGCGTAAGCCTCCATCAATATGCTTGAATTCCACGTTTAAAATCAGTACATTGCACACAGAAAACATTGCTTTAACACAAAACAATCTATACGGTCCCCACACTTTGCATGTACAGTTACTGTAATATCAGGCCTCCGGGGATTTAACTCAACTGATTTGGCAATGTCACCAGCGTCACATTTGTGGCAGCTAATTGATGAAAGCTTCAATAGCATCTGGAGAAGAAGAAATTGATCAGGGACAGTCAGCAAAGATTCATAAAGGGCAGATCATGCTCGACTAATCCAATTTATTTTTTTGAGATCATTGAGAGCGTAGATGAGGGAAATGTGGTGGATGTTATATATGGGCTTTTAGAAGGCCTTTGATGAGGTAATTTCATAAGAGATTAACATCAAAACTTGAGTCATAGTTCAAAAAGTGGTAGAGTGGCAAGAAGGATGGGATTGGGAACAAAATGTAGAGGGTAGGAATCAATGATTGTTTCTCATGCTTACAGAACATAACTAGTCATGCACCCCTGGGGTCTTTCTACAACTATTGTTTTTTTTAAACAATGTACATCAATCACTTGTGTGTGGACATATTGGAGGAGCTGTGTCTGGGTTTGCTGATCACACTAATTTTGGGGTATACAGGCACATTGGGAGAAGGACTGATTAAGACTTCAGGTCAAAATGAATAAACAATGAGCAGATACATTTATAATAATAATCCTTGCATCTGATATAGCGCTTTTCACGTCTTCTAGACGTCCTAAAGCGCTTCACAGAATATACTGTAAAGTGAATTGACTGTATATTTGTGGGCGAACGCGGCAGCCAATTGCGCACAACAATGTCCCACAAACAGTCATGGATTGAAAATGTCCAATTTTTTATTGTTTTGTTGGAGGGATTATTTAATGTGAAGTACAACATTTTTGGGAAAAGAATATGAAGTAGAAATATAATCTGAAGAGTAAAGAACTCGTTCGAATGGAGTAGCAGAAGGAGCTGGAGGTCAAGGCAAAAGTGGGACAGCAAGAACTAAAAGGTATCAGGAAGGCAAAGAGAATTGTTAGATTTATAAATCAGTGTATGCAATATAAAAGTTGGAAACCTATGATGAAAATGGATAGCACATGTAAAAATAATTCTTGAATTTGACATAGTGCAAGATCCCATTATTTGGATGTATCAAAGCACTTTACTAGATTATAGTGTAAGAAGTAGTTAGCCTGTGTATATTTTGTGGGTGGACATAGCAACCAATTTGCACACAGCAATGTCTTACAAAAACCCAATAATGAATGACCAATTTTATTTTGGGGATTGGTGGCCAAGACACCAGGACAAAATTTGCTTCTCTTTTCAAATAGTGCTATGAGATCTTTAAACGTCAACTTGGACAGACAGATGGGACCCCAGTTTAATGTCTCAACCTAAGAACAGCACCTCCAACCATGCAGCACACCTCCAGCATGGCTCTGGCGAGTCAGATTAGACTATATGAGTTTCAAATTCCCATGTGGGGCTTGAACCCACAACCTACTGAATCAGAGAGTACACAACTAACTGAGCCAGGCCGACAACATTAATCAGGCCGCAGTGAGAATACTTTGTTCAGTTTTGGGCTCCCATTATAAAAATGATGTCATAGAGATGGAGAGAGTCAACACAAATTCACCAGTATAATACGAGGTATGGGACAATACACATATGAAGTGACGGTGGTTAAATTGGTTAAAGTTAGAAGAGCGAGTTCCAGCACCACATTGAGACTTATGCTTATAGTCTAATCCAGTGCAGTAAAAGAGGAATGCTACATCATCAGATGTTTCATCCTTTAAATGCGAAGTTAAACTCAGGTCCCATGTGCTGCTCAAGTGTACATTAAACATCTTGAGATGTATTTTAAAAAAACTTCTTATTAATTTAAACCCAGCTCTGCATAGTTACTAGGGTTTGCTGTCTCGCTAAGGAGAGAGTGCGTATTCCATTCCAGATACAGGGAAATTTCCATGTTTAGATTACATACATATGTGGAATTCTCGGTCTAGGTTGGATACTCCTAAGCATGGTGATGATTTTTTCACATGAATTAGACACCCGGCTGACCCTGAAAAAGGTTGCCACTGTCATGTGCAATATGACACTGATGCTGACCTAATGGCCCACAAATTGACCAAGCTACCTTCCAATAATCATCAGATCGTCACCAAAACATTTTGCCTACAGTGTATCATCGAGATTTGCCCGTCTGTGTGCACGCACAGTGAATGTGAAATGACTGAACAGTGATTGTGCCCCGGATAGATGGAATTTTATAGACCGCAATCTCTGCATTATAACAGAGATCCACTGTATTTAGCAGTCATTGTCTGATAGATTAATGCAACCTGAAATAAATAGGTTTTCAAATAGTGCAGTATTTACAAGAATGTTACAAATACTAACAATTGCATGTTTCTACCTTTCCGACACAGAGCTATTATGCTACAACTGGAGATTATTACCTAACCATTCGGCATAATATAGTTGATCTGATGCCAGATATTATTAAGGCACATCTAAGAGAGAAATAAAATTTTTGAATCTGCATTACAAAGCAGCAAGTGTAAAATGAGGAGGAGAAAATGAAATTATATTTCTAACTTTCTCTTTGGCAAAATGCAAATAAACGTTTTGGTCTGAAATTTATGTAAATTGCATTCATCTATCAAATACAACTAAGGCAGCTACATTTAAAAAAAATTATACTGAAAATCCCCAAATATTTTGCTTCCCAGTAATTGGACAGCATAATATTTGTCTCAACTGTTAAATAAATGTTCTAAACAACTAATAACTGGAAGAATTGCTGAAACCTGCAAACTTGTTATATACATTGTATTATAATACTATGTATGGAATAATTATTTATCTTCCAAATATGAATTCAGTGATATCCAGTGATGAGTGTTTAATGAACCTTATAAAAATAATCTTTGCAATGCACATTTCTGATGATAAACGAATCAAGTGATATCCCATCCAAAATAAAGATTTGTTAAATTGCTTTAAAGTAATAAAAAAATTAAAACAATGAAAGAATTTAAAACTCTCAATACAATCGATTATTGAAAGGTAGTTCATTTCAGAATTATATTTCAGTCACTATTAAAAAATTAAACAGACTTTTGGAAGACAATTATGTTGCCCATGTGCAAAAGTAAAAGTAATACCAGTACATCAATGATACCAAATTTATGTACAAGAAGGGGCCAAAGCTATAACATAGCAATAATACAAGGTAGGTGCAAAGTTTTGAAAAGCTTCATTTTATCCATTAATGCATTCAAGACAAATTCCAATTACTAAAAAATGGAAAGTAGAAATTAAAATTAGCAGCTTCCTTTGAATGACACTGAATAATTTAAGATAAAGAGGTTAAGAACCACATCACTAACCCCGATTTGTTTCAGATTTCAATTTGTAAAATGTGTTCTTGTAAAGGTAGTCAATACTTACCAGAAAACTTCCAAAAGCAGAATTGAAAATAGCAGCTGCCTGTAAAACAAAATATTAGTCTGAGTATTCTTATATATTTTTCGATTGAATAATATTTGCCACATTTCATTGTTATACAGTTAAACAGAGTGCTGTAAATGATTTCATCAGATTGAACACAACTCAGAAAGCACAAGTACACTGTAAGTATGTTCCGTTTGATAATGACAGTCATACAATAAGAACAAATGTATTACATAAACAGATTTTGGATCTTTCCAAGCAATGACAAACTTACCTAAAGGGACACCACTGGAGTTTAAAAATAAGTGCAGTCCCATTCCACTAAGATATATCTTACATCTTGAAAGGCAAAGCCAAATTGAGCAAAACAGGGTTGCAGTATGATCCTCTTTCATCTAAGAAGTGTACCATAAAAAATTCTGAAGATCTAGTTTGATTGCTTGAAACCAGAGGTATAGCCTCCACTCCCAAAACATATAACACAGTACTGTTGCTTTGAAAACCATCATAGCCAAAACAGATAATAGGTACAGTAAACATGAATAAAGTCTAAAGCCATATTCAAAAGGCAAAACTCTATGCAAGTACTGCTACAAAAGAGCATTCGAGACTGAATGGATAATGATGTCCTTGGCTCCAGTGTTTAGCTTTCTTATTCACGTTCATAATTAATTCAAGAACATTGATAATTTCATTAGATTGTTTTTCCAGACTTATCAATAAATGATGGGAATGGAGCACAGCTCCACTTTAACCTGCCAACATAGAACCTCTGCTCACTGCTCACATAGTATGTTCCATCACAATGGGAAATTTCCAATGTCTAGAGTAAAGGAGTCAACAACTGTAATATGTTTCAGCATCTTGTGCGTGCCTTAAACGATCCCTCCATAAACCTTTTGTAAACTAGCCTCCTTTAAAATCAGTATGTACATTGGCATTATTGTACATCTTTCCAGAAACATTTTGATATGCACAGAATCATACCATTACTAATTCAGTTCCCCATGAAAAGTTCTGCACCTATTGTAGCAGCTGCTTCAACAGTACTGTAGTAGTACCTACTAACCAACCAGACCACATTTCACTAATTTCTGCTTTAAGCACCAGCAGCCAAAATATTTAAAATATTCCAACTGCATAAAATTATAGCTTACATATTATGATTTTAGCTCATCATTAGTCATCAATTTCTGGTATACACTTTCCAGAGATTTGTTTGTTATGAACAGATGCAAAATAGAAAACTATTTTATTTTCATGATCAAACAATGGAATGTTTCCCTTTTCCTCCAAGTAGCCTACTGTCAATTCTTTTGTTGAGATATTATCAAATTTAAATTCAGTTTTGATTTCTGGATTGATATTAAAAACTTCCACAGGAATCAGTATGAAATTACAATATTTATGGTACTAAGTCCAATAGACTAGGAATCCTCATTGTCCATTTTATTTAAATATATACATTATACTGTTCAACCAATACTGTCTACACGCAGAACACTAGAAAATTTGAAAGCTCTTTGTGCTCCCTAATTGATCCCACCTCCTGCCAGCAGTTTTCCTTTGTTCAACTCTCCTCCCCTCTCCAAATGCATTCTGACCTTTGTCAGTACAGTTATAATAGGAAATCTCATTATAAAAGCCCACACTGCCAAAGGTTGATAATTAACCTACAAGCATAAAATATGCAAGTACCATAAAAGGTTGGTTAATTTACTAACAAAAGAGAATACCATTATTTTACAGTCTACATCTAGTATACTTACTCTACAGCATGTTATTATTACATCTGGTATATTGTTCTGCAGCATCTTATTTGCAAATATATTTTACCATGAAGAAAGTATATTGAACAGAAGACCTAGCCCACTTTAGCAAACAGCAGCAGTGAAGGACTTAGCTCGGAATAGCTTTGGAAGTGGCAGGATTCAAACGCAGAAAGGATTGGTGTCGATAGCTTAAGGTTGGTACTGTTAAATTACAAGTTTCAATATTGAGTCTGTATCCTCATAATTCAGTGACACCAATCCCAGAATAACAAGAAATTGAGCATACTGAAATTCAGTTAGCACTAGATCCAGTGACCTTGAACTTTTTTTTCATTGGCCCAAAACTGGCCCTTTAGTTGAACATAAAAAAACTCTTGAATGAGTTGAAAATGGAGAGGCACATGGTCCAACCTAAAGATAAATTTGACAAGACTGTAACATTGGCATCTTGTATCATAATTAGGAAACATTACTTACGTTGTTAACTGAAAACAGAAGCATGTAAAGAAAAGCCTAGGAATTAACAAGCTTATGAAAACAAAATGCACACATTTAATTTACAAATAATAAGGGAAAAGGAGAACATGATTCCAATTCATTATCAAGGCATGTGATTAGCTGCCACCACCAGCACAATGCAGCACTATCAAGATCACAATGTAGTTATTAGTACTCAAGTGATTCCAACCATTTGAAAGGAAAGACTTAACCTGCATATGAATGCCAATTATTTTTTCCTACTGCCTCCAACGAAAATGCCACAATATCTATAATTTCATTTTGTTGTTCAAGAATTTTCAACAGATGCTTTGTGTTGAAAGAGAATATTTACGTTTTTTTTCTGGAAGGTGTCGTGTTGGTGCTTTCTCAGAGCTCTAACAGATCTTCAAAAAGATCATATTGGGAGTTTGAACAAAGGCTCTGTATATTCCACCCCCAACACCCCACCCCCATATCCACACACGAATGACTAGCAAATTGTGAAATGATATCCTGTACTTATTATAAAAATGATGAAGTTGAGCAGAGAAATACTATCAGTAGCAGCTTGGTTCCAAGATACGATACTCTACATTGGGCTGAGACTCAGTGGGAATAAAGAGTTCTGTGTTGAGACAAAGCTCTTATAAGAGCAGCTGGTTCTAGCTACTCTGACCTTCCAACAGACTTTATGACTGAAAGCAGCAGTTGCTGAAATTAAAGAACATTTTTCACTTAAACAATAGAACAGGTTCCCCACCCTACCTGTCATCTAATCCATTACAATAGTTCCTTTGACTAGCTTTTTAACACCAAGCTATACTAGTCGGATATTAGCAACAGTTTTAAGAAGTCGTAATTTGATGATAATGCTGCTGAAGCCCATTCGTTAATGAGGGTCAATTAATGATTTATTCTAACAACAAGGAAATGTTTATGCCACAAAAGGCCTATGGAATCTGATAAGTATTTCAACTAAATACGTCTTACATTTTTATTCCAAAATTCAGTTACATTCAAATTATCGCCTTAGAGAATTACATGGAAACTAGACCCTTACGCAGTTGTACATTGTTGTAATGCTATAAAATCCCAACAGTGAGGAGCAAGAGCAGTTTGACTGCATAGGCCCACAACCAGCAAACTCACTTCTAAGCTTTCGCCCACAAATATAGAGTCAATTCACTTTATAGTATATTCTGTGAAGCGCTTTGTGACGTCTTGAAGACGTGAAAAGCGCTATACCAAATGCAAGGATTATTATTATTATTAAACTAAAAGATNAAAAAAGTTAGAATTGAATTTTCTTCCATTGTGAAGTGCATTATAATAGGGCTGCATCGTATTTTTTGTTCCAAAGTGTACTTTGAACGAATTAAAGATACAAATACAGAAATTACATACTCCATCAATAAAAAAGAAACGTTCGATAAAGATAGCTTGCAAAGGCACCCCCATTATTTTGGCCTAGAAGCAAATTGAACTTTTCTGTGGAAACCTGGTGAAACTTAACTTTTTGTAAAAAAAAAACTTCAGTCCATGTAAAGTCCTTCACAAATTAGAGGAAATAGTTCAAGTTCTAAGTAATATCTGTTAAATTGAATCAAATCCTATTCTCCTAAGGATATTACATCTTTTTGGAGTCCTATAGCTCAGTGGTTAGAGCACTCGCTTTGCAAGTGAGAGACCTTAGTTCAATTCCAGGCAGGTCAGGGCGAAACCTTGGGCAAGTTTCCTTACTCCACACAGAGCCTAATAATAATCCCACCAAAACCAAAAACAATAATAAATTGGTCATTTTCAATCTACGACTGTTTGTGGGACATTGCTGTGCGCAATTGGCTGCCGCGTTCGCCCACAAATATACAGTCAATTCACTTTACAATGTGTTCTGTGAAGCACTTTGGGATTTCCTCCTGACGTGAAAAGCGCTATATCAAAGGCAAGGATTATTATTATTATTTTGTGGAAGTGGGTTTAATAAGAACTGTCTGCTGACATTGATGAATGGGAACACCACCACAAGTAAGATGTAAGCAACTCAGTATCTAACATACAGTATTTGTGGCTATATTTCACTTACGATCTGAAATAACTTGATCAACTCATATGGGACTTAATCATAAATTTAGATACTATGCATTATTTATGTGATTGTTATGCAGATGGCACTTTATAAGAAATCTTTTACATGTTGCATTTCTATATTTTGTTTGAGATGTGGCCTCCCACCCATCATTTTTTAATGGGTAAAATATTTACCTAAATGTATTTCTCTGAATTTCATTTATTGAGCTTTTGTTACATAGCAGTTACACTGCTGGCACATGGTGTGCAAGAATAAGTAGAACAAAGTGTTAGTAAAAGATTAACCAGAACCATTAATTAGCAGAAACTGTACACTCATATTACATTATAGGGTGAATAATTTAAGATACACAACGAATCCTGTTAATAAATATACACTGATCTGAATAGTTGCTAGCCTGGATTAGGATGAAGAGCATATGTGTTGTCGTGGCGAGTGTAAGAGCATCACCAGCTGTCAGCAGATTCACTTTAACATTATTAAACACACATCAAAATTAACACAAGTCGTTTTGTTATTCTGAAAGGCATAGTTTGAGCAGGGAAATCTTTTGTTAGTCTGACATTTCAGATTATTGATAGGGAACCTTTGAGAAATAAATACGTTTTAGTTCGGATGAAATGGAATGCATTTGATATCAACAAAAGAGGAAAAGTGTTTCTCAATATTGTAACATTAACTCTATTCTAATGAGC